ACTCCAGTCTTCAGTGTCACGTGATCCTTCAGAAATCATTCTAAAGTGCTGATTGGGTGCTCAAGAGCCATTTAGTATTATTATCTTTTTGTAGCGACCATGATATATTGTCTTTAGGATTCTTTAATGAATAGAATAGAAATTTATTTGAAATTCAATGCATTTTGTCAAGTAAAAAAGTAAAAAAAAATCTTACTGATTCCAAACTTTTATACAGCAATGCAAATTTTATATAATTTAATTTTTTGTCAATTTTTACCTTTTTTTAACTTCGGGTACAAAATGAGAACCCTCTGAGCACCAAGTACAAATAAAAGCATGTTAATTTTGGATCATGGAATTGTTATGACCAGAAAAGATAATCAGTTCTCCAGCATGTCTCTTTAAGCAGTTGCAAAGCTTTCCTATCAGTGTCATATACTGTATATCACACATATCAGTAGGTAGAGTTAATTCCAGAGTAAGTGTTAATTGCAGCTTAAATGTGCACTTATTGCACTCCACAATCCGAACATAATGACCAGCATGACTAGTGGAATTGTCAATTATGCAGGATTTTGCTGTCTGATTATCAATTCCTATCGGACAGACTTTATTTTAAATGAGAGTTCATGGTACATGACAATGAGGGTACACCTGCTGACTCTGGCTAATTAATCTGTGCGGGCCTCTGAGTCCCATATGTCAGGTCTCCAAGTATAAGTTACCCTTTTTCACTCCTCCAAGATCACCTACCTGAATACAAGTCTCAGTGTAGCCATTGTAAGAAACCAGGGCAAGATATTTTAAACTTCCATGGAAATGGCGATTACTCAATATTTAATGATCTGAGACCAGCTGGTTAATGTCCTGTTCAAGCAATTCAGAAGCATGTTTGGTGTGTAGATCATAAACGTGATTGAGTCTAAGCCTTTGCCTGTCGAGCTTGTTGACGAGGAGCTGGTTTCTCCTTGACTTGCAGAAAAGAAATCTCTCAGAGTGACCTTCCTAACCCTCCCCCAACCCTCTTGCTCCTCAGTGGCAAAGGTGGATGGTGAGATGCCTCCTTCCCCGGCCTCCTCTCACCACAGCAGCACACAGGCCCCATCTCTGACCGAGGAGAAGCGCACGCCGCAGGGCAGCCAGAACTCCCTCAATACGGTCAGCTCCGGCTCAGGCTCCACCAGCGGCATCGGCAGCGGAGGCGGGGGCGGCAGCAACAACACGGTGGTCCCCAATGCCATCCAGCCCTACGATGTGGAGATCCAACGTGGAGAGAACGAGGGATTCGGATTTGTCATTGTGTCGTCAGTGTCGAGGCCTGAAGCGGGCACCACTTTCGGTAAGATTGCTCGGATAGTTTTTTTATTATTAAATAATTAATTAATGCATTACATTTAATTGTTACAAATTTCTTTAGTCTACATTTATATTAAATAAATAGAATGGACCCTTTTCACATTTCCAAGGTTCTCAGAAGCAGAAGTCGTCATATTTGGATATACTTATATAGTGGTGAACAGAAACTATCACAGATATAATTTTGCCCCAGCAGCAAAAGAAAAGTAACTGACAGCATTTCAATGACATTTTAAAAGGAGGAAAAATATTGAGATCAGAAGAAAGAAAGTGTCAAATTTGCTGTCACTCTCTGAGCCGTTCTATGAGAAACACTCGTGCAGCAACGTTAACCAGTTTTCTGTAATTTAATACCAGGCCAATAAAGCACAAAGTATAGTGTTGTAAATTAATATTACATTTTTTAAAAATTAAAATATAAAAAACTTTATGATAGATTTAAGATATTAATAACTGTGGAAACCCGGAATCACAGTCTGTAAAAAGGGTCCATTCAAAATCAGCACATCAAATTGTGAGTCTGCAAATTTTGTCTGGCCCTGCCTATCAGTTTGGTAAAAAAAAAAAAAATCTCAGTAGCTCAGTTGGTGGAACATGACACTAGCAATGCCTACGTTTTGAATTTGATCCCAGAAAACATTTAAAATTATGAAATGTATGACACTGAAAGCACTGTATGTAAATCACTTTGGATAAAATTGTCTGTTAAATGCATAAATGGGAAAAAGCAAAGTAATCACGTAATTTCCTATTCACATCTTTTATATTATAAAAAGTGAAAATGACTGAGAGATTCACATTTTTTCTGGGAGCTTTTTACCTCTGAAAGGCACTTTAGATGTGGTTTTCAATTTTTGGTGGGTGTGGGTTCTTCGTATTCTCCTTATGCCAATCTGCATTTCTTGCGATTTTCTTAGTGTGAAAGGAAGTGTTTGCAATGTCTGCCTGAAGCAGGGTTCGATATCCACCCTCTCTGCGTGGGGCTCTATTTCTGTTCTACTTCCCAAAACCAGACCAGTCTCCATTACACAAGATGGCCGTCGAACATTTAGTTTGGCCATATCTCACCGTTTAGTCTTAGCAGTTGCCAGCAGCACTTGACATTAGTATTCTTAACCAACTGTAATTGATAGAGAGATCAAGTTAGTAAAAAAGCAAATCAAGTATGACATCCCACGTTTACAGACTCAGATCTTTCTTCGCTATGTTCATCAGAATGCTTCCACTTTTTAAACTCACAATAGTGCCGTTGGCAGCCTTCGCGTAAGTGAAAACTGGATCCAGCAGGCTCGGTGATTACTCCATGTGGGAGTTTTGTTCAGACCATTGTGATGGAAGAGAGGAATGACAGATCCGTGTTTGAGAGGAATAACAGCGAGCACTAGTTTACTACAGTGATGAAATGCATGAGTCACTGTGAACAAGGACCTCAGAGCATAAACAGAGTTCAGTCATTAGTATTACAGTCAAACAACAAATCATCTTCATAGCGGTGTGACAAGCATGACAGGTTGAATTAATATTTTATAGTTGTTCTAACATGCCATCACTGCATTTAGATTGATCAAACATATATATTTTGCAGGATGTGACACCTAAAAATTGATTGACTGAAAGGTCAAATATAAAAAAAGACTTTTAAAAAGGATGTTGAGCTTTGATTCGTCACAATAAAGAATAAAGAAGTGTTTTAGGGGCCAGTCTGCTGTATTTACAAAATTTTTTCTGGCTATAAAACCACAGCATTCACGTTGCTCAACTTTTAAAAAACACATCTCTAGACCTTGAATTTTTTTATGCAAAAAAGGTGTTCTGTTCAAATGGTCCTTAGTCCTTATTTTTGTTGCAATATTTTTGTGATTGAATTCAGCAAAAATGAGCAAAAAGGCTAACATCACCTGTCATGCTAAAGGGAACCACAAAGTGCAAACTTGAGTAATCCTAATGCTTCCCAGTCGTTTTTCATAATTTATCACAATGTGGTGCTCTGAGGGAATTTCAAGAGTTTACACCTTTTTTTCACGTAATTAAAATTCAAAAGTGGTGGTGGTGATTATTCACAGGATCTGAAGAGTGCTACAGAAATTATGTTCAGGGTGATCTACTGTAGCATGCAAATGCCTTTTAATAGTCCCAAAATCAATAGATTCCTATGTCCGTTCTTGCTATTGCCCCCCCCAACAATACCTTTGCTGTCCATTCAGTAACATGCTTTTGTCTGTCACAAGGTGTGTTTTGCTTGCAGGGCACATTCTGTGGGCATTCTATGAGAAATGTTGGCACTTTGGCTTGGTGGCTTGGTATATTAACCCCTGCACATTCTCTCTTTCCTTTTTCTCTCTTTCTCTTTCCCTTTCTCCATCCCCACCAAAACAAAAACAAAAATAACCATCTTATTTAAAACTCATACATGCTCAATCACTGTTGGCCAAAAGCTGGAAACGCATGTGTGGCAATGCCTCATAAAATAGGTCGCATCATTGAGGGAAGCCCAGCTGACCGCTGTGGGAAACTAAAAGTCGGAGACCGGATCCTGGCTGTAAACGGCTGCTCCATCACCAATAAGTCCCACTCGGATATCGTCAACCTGATCAAAGAGGCTGGAAACACGGTGACGCTGCGGATCATTCCAGGAGACGGTCAGTTCCTCTCTCTCATTCTCTTTGCCTTCGCTCGCTGATTTGAGAGCATATTGGTGCATGTGGGTGTGTGCAATATGTGTAATAGCACGGCTTCTCAGCATACTGCTCTCGCGAGCCTCACCGTAATAACGTAGACGATACATTCAGCATTATTTGAAGAAAAATAATGAACAGGAACCTGCTCAATAAATATTCAACATGCTCTTAACCTTAGAGGCAAGAGCGCCTTCATATTGTGCTGTAGTAATAATGACAGATGGCACACCAACAAGGTTGATCGGGGGAACAGACACAGTCGTGCAGAAGCATCATACACATTTCAATGGTTCCCTGGAGATTTTAGTGGCAAGTGTTTTTTAAATGAAAGTTTTGGGAAAAAATTGCAGCTTTGAAAATTAAGTCAGAACTGAACAGTAATTATTGTTATTTATTTGTCCAAAAACCTGTTTATGTTTTTATAGAAAATACGTATATTTACTTAGAAAGTAAATGAAAAATATATTTTTCTATTTTTATAGATATTACTATTCCTTATTGTTGTACTTTGTAAGTTGCACAGTTGTTGTAGATTAAAAAAGGTGTTTATTTAAAGTGACAGAAACCACATTCTTCAATGTAATCACACTTTGCACGGGTGTATCAAGTTGCACTTCAAATCTGCAAATCATTTGCAGCTGTCATCATCTACCCATTCAAGCATTCATTTTGCTTCATGCTCTTATTTCTTTTTTCGTTTGGACCAAAATGTCAGAGCTGCCTTTTTCCATACAACAAAAATGCATGATGATAACTGGCTGTCAAGTTCAATGTATTAAATTCAGTTTGGATTTGGAACCCAGGTCCCTTTTCACACTAAAAACAAACCTATATCAATTAGTTGTACTAAGCATTTTATTTTCTTTGATCAAGTCTCATCTCGTCTACAAAGTGAGCCAGAAT